ATGCCCATGTGGTTAGGAGCAGAATTTGTCAAATCAGTTTGACATGATGTCAATTTAGAAAAGGGATTTCTAGGTGAACACAGTGCTTCAGACCTTGCATCTGCTATAAATATCCAAAATGCAGAATTAAAGAAAATGTCAGAGCATAATAAGAAAAGCATATCTTTGTCATGCTAGAAGAATATGCATTGTTCTCATGTCACCACAGACAGTATATAGCAAAAGTTAGGACACTAGGTGAAGACTGAACATAGTCCATAAAGGAAGCCACATACAATGGTCAGTAGTTAACAGGTAGCCAAAACCCACACAGTTCTACTAACAGACAGATGTGGAGAATTTCATTATATCATGTTTCTTATAGACATAAGCATCAGTAGAACCGATTCGGGGATTTTCCTTGTGATTTTTCTTTCCATTTTCCAGGCAGCAAAAAGAAAGAGCAGCTATAAGATATTTTCATGCCAAAATAGACTATGGGTGAAAAAAATATGTTTTAATATTCTTTATAATCCATTGCTGCAATTCAAGCCAGAAATTATTTAGGTTGCTATTATTTGTTTCAGTCTGCAGCTTGACAGATTTACATTTTATTTCCTGATAAACACCCAGATCCATCCACAAACTGCATTTCACATGTCCTTTTAACTTTGCTTGGCAACATATTCAGAAAATGCATGATCTCTTTTGACATTAATTAGTCTGAGCTAATAAGAATTTTAGTAGGCAAATCATGATTTTGTATGACTGTGCTGAGGAGATTAACCCAATCAAATGTTCTTGGAAAAAACCCACTGTCCCTCATATTTGTTTGATGTAGATGATGGACATCATCAGTATGACATCAGGGCTGGATAATTTCAGCTGCCTAAATAGGCCTAATGGGTATGACACTAAATCACTCTATTTTGGATTTTTCATCAGCTCATTAAATTGTTTTCCCATGTACACTGAAATGCTGACAGCAACTGTAGCTATGTAAGACAAGGAAGTTAATAAACCAGGAGTCAAAAATAAGGAAATTTTAAATTAACTTGCAAGTGACATTTTTAGAATGTCTTAGTAGAACAAATGTGCACCTTGAAATTGCCCAGATTTTGCAGAAATAAAATTTTTAAACTTTTTATTTAACAACGGTCTTTAAAAAAAAAAAAAAAAAAAAGCAACATGATGCATTTGCTGACTTTCCCATCTTAATGCAAGCAGAATTCTCTTGGGCTCTCATGACAATTGTACCATGTGAGATAACTATAGGATCGAACCCTGGTTTGCTACATATTAGGTAATTTATTTTAAATAAATAATACTCTTGTTGGGCTAAAACAGTTTTCAGGATCATAGTGATCATACGGCATAGAAAATGTACATATTCTAGCTGATTTGCCAACTTAAGAAGACTTTCATACTACTTCTTGTTTAAAGTCAGCAAAGCTGATACCTAAGCGCTTTTCAGAAAACAGAGAAGTTTGTACTTAAAGTACTTCCCTGAACTGGGGCTCCTAAGATATAATTGGGCAAAATGTAGAGTACTTTCACTTCTGAGAGAGTTGATGGATTCACCATCCTTCTACGTCAAGCACAAAGAGTCTTGCTCTATTGGAAACGCTCATTTCTCTTTGACTTAAAAGCAGTGTTTTGGGTTTTGAGTACAAGTGAAATGTTGGCATGAACGTTTTAATAAGCAGATTTCCAGTGATATATGCAAGTCTTATTCCCTTATGAAAGTCATTTTTCCAGGCTAATTCTTTCCTCTTCAGCCATATATGTAGAAAAGTAGAAAGATGTTTGGATAAGCTAGTTTAATGGCAGCTAACAGGGCTTTGTCTCTGATTTATCAAAACTACTTATATAGTTTTCATAAATATATATGGTAAGTACCTGGATAACAAATCTGTGAATCTTAGCTGATGCTAACTAAATGGAGAAAACGTAAAATGTTTCATTTTTAAAACAAGTTACAAAGAACTGAAATACTGGAAGGTTTTTACCATTGAGCCAAATGTAACGCATTATACAGTGGGCTTAAATCTAATGTCATTATGCCCTTAATTTCTTTAGAATCAAAATCAATTTTATTTCCTAAATTGAAATATCAAATATTTGTGGATTTGTCAATTAGCTGCAAAATTACCTTATATGGGCAACTACAGTTTCTAAATAAATCAAGGCGTTTTAAAGTTGAAAATCATTCACTTGACATGCTTACAGTGAAAAAGAATTTAACAACTTGAAGTGCTTTTTATTTCTACAAGGTCTTGATAAAGTCCTAGTAATCCTTTATTTCAGTGAGTACACACACTGGCAAGCATGGATATAGCATGGAAGCCACCAAGTAGACCCAGAGTAATAAACACTTCCTTTGCCTTACAACATAAATACTGAAATGGTAATTATTATCACACCTATAAGAAAACCAGCCTTGCAGTCACTGAGGCTTAAGCTTCAATTAACACCTTTAGAAACCCTAATGATATATGAGATAGATGGTTAAGTGAACCCTGAGGGTTGTCCTGTAGCCACTGTCAACCCAGACTGATAAGCAGCAAGCCTGCAAGCTTCAGCCCATTTTCCCAACCTTATTTTTTACTTGTTTTCATTGTGTTTTGCTGGCAGCATCACATTGATATGGTGAATCTCAGTGAACAGATGACTACTACTGTTATCTTCCCATCCTTCAAACAGTCCCCAGATGGAGGTTAGGAGGAAAATTCCTTCCTAGTTCAGATCTGCAGAGGTTTTTTTTCCCCACCCTGGAACCTGGTGTGTGATCTGTTTATTAGGATGATCAGGGAATGTTAATTTAATATTATTTAATGCCCTGCTATTGCACAGGCATTGGAGATACTCACTGCCTCTCTGTGGCACATTGGAATTGTGGCTTTTGAGCTTTTTTATGTCTTAAGTATTTGGCAGAGCTTGGGAAGTGTTCCACAGTCTGTGATACTCTGTTGGACAATGAGCCTGGATGATCTGTGGACCTCTGTAGGTTATATATCTGTGGTATCAATTGTGTACTGGGAAAGACAGAGGCTAGATTCAGTTACGGAGGATTACTGGATGTTTGGTATTCTGATTTGATCTACTGCTTTTGTAAAAGGGCCTGGCTTCAAGTTTTGTTTCCACTATCTACATTTCCTTAAACGGAACAATACGGGCCTGGTACTTCTTATGTATTTACATGACAGAGCACCAGGAAAGCTTTCACTGATACTGTGTCAGGTTCTTGTCCTTTGGAAAATATAACATCTATAACATTCAGCATCATAAGGCCATAGATTTCTTTCACAAACACTTGTTTAAATCGCTGTAATTCCATTATGCCCAACTAAGCTATTTTTAATGTACAAGAATTGGGCCCTCTGTTTCTAATGTAATTCCAAGTTTTTTGTCTTTCAAGGTTTTCTATAAGCATTCTTCAAGGAAATTTTACTTCCTGAATTCAATGTGTATCTCAGTTCTGTGACTGTTTACATAAACATTTTGTACATCTGATTAACATCAGAATTGCCAGCTTTTCAAATGGCCCTCACTGTGCTATAATTCTGCTCAGCCTTGCACAGTATTTTTGGCATTTCAGTTTTCAACTTCATTAATGGATGTTGCTAGCTAATTGACTCTATTATTATTGTGGAACTCTGTCTGCCAAAGGTAACTATTCTTCTTCAGCATGCCAAATGCTCAAAGTGCCATCTGTAATTTATAGTTAATAAACACTGAGACAACAGATGACAAATGTCTTCCTGGTAATTGTTTTACTGTTACAGTTTTTCCGTTGGATTTCTTTTTATATTTTACTTCTCAGTTCAGCTCCATTTTGTCATTTACAATATCGCTGAGGTTTAACTTAATGCTAGGGAACAATTGCCAAAGGTAGTCATCAAAGTAACTGATTCACAGACATATAAAGCCAGACTCCCAGCAGGTTGCCCAGATTCAGGAATCAATTTGTGTATCTTTTGCCTTCAATAGCAGCAGAGATCAGATGCTGCCAAAATATGTCTGTGGTCTCAGTTGACAGTGGAGTTACTCTGGGTCTACATGGGTCTACATACAAATAAGATACAGCCCTTCATTTAAAAGAAAAAAAAAAATAAACTGAAGAACAGGAGTGCCAAAAATGAGCTTTGCTAGCTGCTGTCTGGTCGTCTTTGTTCAGCTAGCTGAAAGCTGAATACGGATATTTTAATGATGTTAAAGAAAAGGGTTATGAATGAACAGCACAGTAAGTGTTGTGGGAGGAAATGAGTTACCCTAGTCATTCTTTAATTAGCTGAATACACATGGAAAATACACAGTGGGGAATGAGCCTCACTGCATTTTCCACCTGCCCACTGGGAGGTGAGAGAGATTAAAATGGCAGCGTAAAGCCAGTTCTGATAAGTTTTGCATTACATTGATACTCACCTCAAGCTTTTCATTGTGGAATATGTAAAAGGTTTATTAACAACAGTGATAAATACAATCTCATCAATTGAACAGCAGATATCCATATAAATTATTATACTGATCAAAACTATAAAGGAAGACTATCTTGAAAATAAGTAAAGTGCATTTATATAGCCCTGTAAAGACATTCAGCACTTCTGAAAATATTGAGTAATATAGATAAGCCTGTTTTAATAATGTGAAACATTTCACCCTGATGGCACATTGATATATCCATACTATACAGAGCTTTTCTAATGTTCATTAAATTGTCAAAAATGTTCTTACCAAAAGAGAATCTGTTACAATCACTTATCCTCAAAGACCGTGGTATCTTCTGCCTTTATATCTTTTCTGTTTACTTTTTCTCTTCACATCATAAAATGTCTCTTCCTGAAATGACATAGCAAACAAATAAATGGACCTATAATAGTTATATTCGTTACTCTGGATATCCTTAATAGACAGTCTTCCTTTACCTTTAGCACTGGAAATGCACCCTTTATTGGTATTGAATGAATTATCACCATATGTAGACCTGAATCCAGTGTGTATGTGTTGTCTTGTTTCTGCAGACTGTTATTGTAACCCTTTTGGTTCAGTCCATGATCGCTGTAATGACAGAGGATTTTGTGAGTGTAAGGAGGGAACATCAGGGCCTAAATGTGATAAATGTCTGCCGGGATATATCTGGCACAGCTTGGGCTGTCAACGTAAGTAACTCTGAGAGTCGCCCTTCTCCTGCAACTTTGCTGCCTCTGCGTCTGTATGCTATCACGTGCAGCTACTTAAGAGCAGAAAATGAACAAAAAGCTCAACGAGCTCTAAGAATGCCATACTGCCTGAATCTTTTCAGAGACTCCCAGATGAGAACAGTAAATGACTGTGCCATCCATTTGTTTCAATATGCTTTCAGTGTCCTCTCTCTTTCTCTTGCTAACTCCTGGAGGAGCTCCCATTGAAATATGTAAATCTGTGTGTCTTACCAAATGTGAAATAAGTTTTGTATACCAAAACATAAGCATATTAACTTCAAATTTAAAATTCCTTCTAAAAGACAAAAAGTGATTTCTCTGCATGTTCGTTTTTTTCTGTACTAAACATCAGCTTCTTGAGTAACTTAACTGTGCTTTCATACCTTAAAAATACATCCCTGGACAAGAAAACTGCAAAACACTGGCTCATTATCTGTTATAATTAGTGAAAACTAGACAAAACCTAAAGGTAAAAAAATAAAATGGAGGCATGTTTAACATCCTTAAAAATATGAGCTTCAATTTTGCGTAAATATTGGTAGAGCAGATGTTGTTTCAATGCTTAGTTGTATATTTAGCTTCTCTTCTGGTTAACAGGTCTTGTAAACAAGTGAGTGGAAATACCACATCAGTATATAGAGGATTAGGCTTTTATTGCAAATTTCTTTTGTAGTAAATTCTTAAGATTTATTCTTTATAACTGTTTTGATCATCTACTTCCAGAAACTGTGGAGAGTCCTCTCATGTTTTTCTTTCACCTTTTCTCCCTGCCTCTCTGCATTCTTATACACACACATTAAAGTCAGATTTCTACAAGAGCTTGTTTTTGATTTTAAGACTGAGAAACACAAGAGAGAATGTAATTACTGACACTGATTAACCAAATATTATAAAATATAGCCATATAGCCACAAAAATGCCCTAAATACTGTAAAATAAATGCAAATCTTTCATCATAAATTTTTTAAAAAAACAATAAAGCTAGAGATTACTGCTCTCTCTCCAAGTGGTGAGTACCTCTGAAGTAGAAAATCTGGGCTTGTGACAATTCAGGAAATATATATGGGAAAAAGCATATGAAGAGAAAGGAAGTCTGCATGGGCAAAGCAGTTAAATGTTACCAGAAAAATAGAACTTCTTCAGCTTCTGCCAGAAAGCTCCTGTTTATATTTGGCAGGTTATTTAAACCATACTTTTTACATGTGATTGTTAACTGTATTATCATTTTTTTGATGCTTGCACTTGAGTTTTGATTGAAAAAAATTATTGGGCACTTACAGTTGCAGCAGAAAGAAGGTGAAGTAGTGTTTCAGATCTCAGAGTTCTCTATTATTAATATTCTAAAAAATCAGATCCTAGGTATTTAAAAAAAAAAAAATAATCATAGGATCTCCCTCTGCTTTGCACCCCTTATGTAGAAGGAGGTTGTCACCACCCCTGTACCTTTCCCAAGGTACTAGCAAAATAAGCATTAGAATTTGTGAAGCATTGAGATATTATAGTGACAAGAACCACAGGAAAAAAAAAATAAAAAGGAAATCAATATGATTCTCTGAAGTAGAATTTGAATAAAATACAGTAAACACCATATCCGCACAGTGGGTCTAAAAAAAGATGCGAAGTAGCTGAGGTACTTTACAAGTCTGAAGGTCCATAGAGCAAATTTTACAGTCATATAATTAATATAACATATATACCAGCTTTTCAAACTAATTGCTTATTAATTGCAGTATTGCCTATCTTTTCAGGTTTGGACATTATAACCCCAATAATGTTCTTTTAATGAGCATTTTTTGAGCCCAACATATAATTAGTCTGATTTTAGCTGAATCAGAGTATTTGTAAAAGCTTTAGACAGTTTCTGGAAATGCAAGTTAGTGCCTTTATATTTGCTGACAAAACTAATTAAGTTTCCTTCACTGTTTTGTAATTTTCTGAACAAATCTCAGTCTGATTGTGTTAGACATTCTTCAAGTTGGACCAAATTGTCTGATCAAATTCAGAAGAAAAACAACTAGATGCAGTTGTCAGTTTTATGCAACAGACATCAAATCGCCATGTTTTACCAAGCACACACTGATTTAAATTTCATTTCAAGTCTTTTCATGGAGAAACAGAATTCCACTTCATCTAATTTTGTAGTGTGGTAACTTAGCTTTGTTTGTTATTTTCCCACTGAAATCTAAACAAATGACTGGGCCAGCAAGCAGACCCCAATACACAAGAAAAATAAGAACTCATTCCGCTGCCTTAGCAAAGCTCAAAAAGATTATTTGCCTGGACCTGTAGCATGTGGTTTTGGTCTGTTTCCCTGCGCTTGTGCTGTACAGAAATGTATATATGCAGAGATGGATACACACACACACTCAGCAAACCAGTTTGTTTAGTTTTTGTTATACGTACCCTATTGGCATTATTAAGAAAATCTATTCTTATGGAGCTTTGACACTAAAAATCATTGACCTAGGGCAACCAGAAGCTTGCCCTCTAAATAAATAAGTTAAATCTATACCATAGCTAGTTTAATTACTTGTATGATTGTATTAGTAAATGGAGTGTCTTCATTTTATGTATTAGTACTTCTATTTGGGAAAAACCAACGCTAAAGTCCTGTTGTGGTTTTTAAGTCTCGCAGTATAATATTTGATAAATTACTGTTCCGAGTCTACTTTGTACCATTCATGGGCAAGAGACACAGAAGCTGTTATTCTCAGAAATATTCATTTAGGTACCTCACTCTTACTGATTTCATCTAAAACCTCTGAGGATCTAGGCAGAGCATTCATCACTTGGCGTCTCTGTGCATACTGAGGTCAGATGCAATTTTAGACTTTGCCTCCCAGATAAAAAGCACCATGATAATGGCTGTTATCTTGTTGAATTCAGGATTTGTGCTGCATAGGCATAGCGGTCAGCAGGGTCTGGTTGGTACAGGAAGGTTTGCTGCCCTCAGAAAAAAAGGGACAATAGATGCAACTGTGCTTTGCACTACTTCTAAGCCCTCCCCCCAAACTGTCCATGCCACAGGCGTTGTGCGTGAGGCCACTGCTGGGGTCTAGCTCTCCACCTCCCTCCCAGGTACTGACAATGGTCTCCTCACCAGCATGCATACATAGAACAGAGCTCAAGGAATGAATTAGAAACAGAACAGTCTGGTCCTGAAACCCTTTTTGAATTCCAAAAACATGAGAAAATACATGGTTATATTTAATTTTATTGTTTTATAGAAATTAAACGTTTTCCTTTAAAAATTAACATAAACACAGAAGAAAAGCTCCAAGCCCAGCAAGAAATTTCACTAGCAACTATAGCTGTTTTGGGCCAGTCTTAAACTGAACAGAGTGCTTTGTGATAAGAGGAACCTGTAACAAAAGGTAGAAATATTTACACACAGAAGAACTATCTGTGTTTTAAAAAACTGTGTGTAATAGGAGACTGGGATGCAAGAGGAACAAACTGTGCTTCAGATGGCTCCAAATTTAAATCCAGAATAATTCTCCTTAAATTGGTCAAGAATCCCACTGCTTCAACTCAAGACGAAGTATGGCTTACAGATTCAAGACAAGCAAGGCAAGATTAGAAACAAAATAGCAGTGCTATCAGGCCTGATTCTTAGATGATGCAAAACACTAATTCCACTCACCTCAGGGGCGGCAAGGGCAGCATGCTGACAGTTTATATGTGTAATGCCATACGGATATCCTGGGTCTTTTAAACCTGAAACAAGACAATGGGAATGTGTGGATTAATGTATTAATTCCAAAATACATGACCCACAGAATAGCCATACAAATACATAGAGAATTGTTCACCAAAGTATGGATATCATGGAATAGTATTATTTTTTAATGACATACTGGATTTGAAGGAGAAAAAGAAGGTTGATATCTCTCTGGTGAGAGGATATTTTAGTCAGAATAAACATGTCAGAACACAAACACTGAATTTAATAAAAATTATGAAGTGAAGAAACTTTCCTCTATGAAGAACACAGAGAAGAAGATGAAAACAGAGGATGCCTTCTCTATATAGTTATTACACAGACCTACGTACTTACCTTAGCATGCCTAGGTTGGGGATCAAGTCTCAAGCTGATTTTAGTAGTGCTGCCTACAAAGCGTATGGAATATTGTGGAAATGGAAGAATGTGCTGAAGGAATAGACTACAGGAGCATTGGTGAGAGCTCAAGGGCATTATCTCAGCATCTCTGTGCTTGAAGGCAGGCTTCTATTAACAGAATGGGGATTATGAATTAGGTATCACCTGTGTGGGGACAAACCAGAGAAAATAACAGGTCATAAATCAACCAGAGAATGGGGCATAGAAGAGGGGGCTAGTTAGCATAGTTAACATCTTATTAAGAGGCACCAGGCTCTTAACAGACTGCAGCTCTTCAGATTTACTCTGCTAACCTGGTGATCAGACTTGCTTTCTCTAAAGTGAAAAGAAATGGTTCAGTAGCAACATTTATACAGCTGACCTTTAATAGAACATTTTTTCCCCAGCAAGGTGAAGGATTGGATTGGAGCAAAGAGGTTGTTTTCCTCTTGATCTTGCCCAGATGTCAGCTTCAAAGCTGCTATTCCATGGCTGTCTAAACTGCTCTAATTGCAAGTGCTGCAATACCTCTTCTCCCAGTTCCCAGCTATTTAGTCCCATACCCCTGGCAATCTCTCAGGCACTTGTTTGACCTTTCATTGAACCATTTCAGATCCAACTCAGCAGGACACTAACCAAAGAATAGTTTTCTGTTGTGTTAGTTCTGTGATATGAATCAGCAACGGGTTGAGCAAGCAGGAGCACCCTGGGAGAGTATTAACCCACTCAGCTGGGGAGTGATGGAGCCCTGGCAGCCAGCAGTTAGGCTGGACTGGACTGCCATGTAACTGTAGCACATCTGTGGGATTAGTGTTCTCCTCTTTCCATTGTTAGATCATTCATGTTATAGTCTAGCAAG